GAGGTAAGGAGGAGCCTGGGCCAGGAGGGCATGGGAGGGGGGGGCTGCCCTCGGCGGGAGGGGATCCGTGTCTAGTTTGAGTGCTGAACACCTAGGGAAAGGGGCGCGGGCGGTGAGGAGGGGGCTGAGAACCAGCCCCCGAACTCCAGAAGTCCCTCAGCGAGCCTGCGGGGCCTGTGAGCCCCTCCCGTGCAAAAATGACACGGGTGTGTCTGGGGAGGTCTCCCCATGTCTGTGGAGAGTGTTCCCAGCTTCCATCAGACTTTTTTTTTTTTAAATCATTGTTCAAGTACAGTTTTCTCCCTTTTACTCCCAATCCAGCCCACCCACCCAACCCTCCCCACCTCCCTCCCGTTACCACCCTCCCCCTAGTTTTTGTCCATGTGTCCTTTAAATTTGTTCCCATAAACCCTTCCCATGCTCCCCTGAAATTCCCTCCCCTCTTCCCTCTGGTCACTATCAGCCTGTCCTCCATTTCAGTGTCTTTGGTTATATTTTGCTTGTTTCTTTGTTTTGTTGATTAGGTTCCTCCCATCAGATTCTTTTTTTTTTTAATATGTTTTATTTCTTTTTAGAGAGGGAAGGGAAGGAGAGAGAGAGAGAGAGAGAGAGAAACATCAATGTGCGGTTGCTGGGGGTCATGGCCTGCAACCCAGGCATGTGCTCTGACTGGGAATCGAACCTGCGATGCCTGGTTTGCAGCCCGAGCTCAATCCACTGAGCTACGCCAGCCAGGGCCCACCAGATGCTTAAAGGGCTCCCAAAGCAAGCTGGAAGCGATCTCTCACTTTCCAGGTGAAGCAACTTAGCGGCATGAGTCAGAAACGAATGAGGGAAACTTCCAGAACCAGGAGCAGCGCGTGGGTCTCTTCCCTCCTGCCGCCATCACCAAAGCACCAGCAGCCAAAGCGAAACTCAGTCCCTTCACGTCCCCTGACCTGAGCAAGAACCGTAAGAGGCATTTCGGTGCACCTGCCCACGTTCACAGAACGATGACATCTTCTCCTCTTTCCAGGGAGCTGTGCCAGAAGCGCAGAGTCCAGTCCACGCCCGTCCGACACGGTGATGAGGTTCAGAAGTTCGGGTCCCGTGAGGACGTGAGGCACGGCGGCACCCTGGCAGCCCGGGCCAGGGTCACAGGAGGAAGTGCGCCATCCGCCCCGAACGAGCACGAGCGTGAGGGGAGAAAGCTGTTGGGACACCTGGCCGTGTGGGCTCCGCCCCCCAGCAGGGCGGTCACCACGAAAGCCGGACAAAGGCCGCAAAGAGATCCTTGAACGTAAAGCCACATAAGACCAAGCAGGAAAGTAAAAGGGCAAATGCAAGGCAGAAACCATTGAGAAGGTGGGAGAATAAAGTCACCTTATATACAACCTTCATTAAAAACGGAAAATTAAAAAAATAATAATCATAAAAGAGCCCTGGCTGGTGTAGCTCAGTGGATTGAGCATGGGCTGCGAACCAAAGTGTCGCAGGTTTGATTCCCAGTCAGGGCACATGCCTGGGTTGCAGGCCATGACCCCCAGCCATCGCACATTGATGTTTCTCTATCTTCCCTCTCTAAAAATAAATAAATAAAATATTTAAAATAATAATAATAATAATAATAAAAGAAAATAAATGAATGGTGCAGACCAGGCCCCCTGGCTGGACGGGAAGGGCAGGGGCGGCCTCGTAACATTTCGCGTCACCTTGCAGCCGCCCAAGCTTGCCCAGCCCTTGCCTCCCCGGACCCTCTCAGCCGCCTCCACTGCAGGGAGGGGGTCGGGCAGGCCCTCATCCCCAGGAACGCAACAAGCGGAGCAAATCATGACGACGTTCCACCCGTTGGACGCCCACCTCGGGGACCGCGCCGGCTGGTTTACACAGGCCCTGTGCCTCCCTCCTGGAGCCCGGGCAGCAGAGCCAGAGAAGCCTGCGCAGGAGAGAGCGAGGGGCAGAAAGGGAAAGACGCTTACGCTCTCCTCCCTCCTCTGCCCGCGCCCACCTCCACGACCCGCGGGACCCACCGACAGGGAAGCGGAATGTGCCTGATGGGTGCGCTCATCGCCCACTCCTGCTTGGCGGCCTCGCCGCCCCGCCCCCAGCCCTTCCTACTGCCACTCACTCACACACACACACACATGCACGCACACACACGCACGCACACGCACACACATAGCAGAAAGGTTCACGGGGACTTAGAGATAAGGGTCACACTCTGACCGGTGTGGCTCGGTTGTTTGGGCGTCGTCCTGCCAAGGGAAAGGTCACCAGTTCGAGTCCCAGTCAGGGCGCGTGCCTGGGTTGCGGGCCAGGTCCCCCGGTTGGGGGCCTGCAAAAGGCAACCAATGGATGCATCTCTCTCACATTGATGTTCTCTCCCTCTCTTTCTCCCTCCCTCCCCTAAACATAAATAAATAAAATCTTTTTTTAATAAAAGTCAATAATAAGAATCACGCTGGTCCACCTGTGGGTTGGCTCCTTCACTTCTCTCCTCAGCTAGTGTCCCCGCTCACACAGTTGGTAACCAGGAAAAAAAAAAACAACTTCCTTTTCTTCCTTAAAGAGAGAAACGAAGACCAAAGGAAGGAAGCAGGAGTGGGCCCACGTGGAAAATCTGAACAAACCTTAGGAGCAAGTTTTCAGGATTTCTCTGGAAACAGAGCAGTGCGGTAGAAAGTCCTTGAACCCAGACGTGGGTTCAGGGCTGAGTTCTTTGGGCCATGGGGCCTTCAGCAACTCACGTAACCTCTCTGAGCCTCAACTGACCCATTTGCTTAAAAGTCAGTCAAGGCCACTGAAAAAGAAATGAGAGGTCACTGACCCCGATTAAGTGGGGCCTTGTCTCCACGGCTGAAGAGCCCGGAGGACAGCATACCCTTACAGGGACTGCCATTTTCTCACTCTCAACAAGAACATGGTAACAACAGCTAATATTATTAAGTAGCTAACGTGCATCCGGCGTTGCACGCAGAGCTTATGAGCAGGAGCAGAGTTGTTGGGACTTAGTTGTCTCAACAGCTGTGGGGGGTCATCATGATTATCCCCAGTTTACGGATGAGGACACTGAGGTCACGTGGCTCGTGGGTGGGAGAAACACCCAAGCCCCTGCCCTGACCCAGCAGGCCCCACGGCCTCCCCCGCATGTGGCGACTCAGGGGGCGGTGTGAAGGGAGCCATTGAAACAGGCGGAACGTGGTTCTGTGGGTGGACGGATGTCTCTGGCGTGTTTGCAATTTATTCCTTTCAGTGAGAGGGCCCTGCCTTCCAAACTCGTGTTCCTGCCGCTCATCGGTTAAGGAGGAAGGGACGAGAGGGTTCTTGCGACAAGGTGAGGACAGCACCTGGCACCCAAGTGGCGATGCCTGCCGGAGCCGGCGCCTCGTCATCAGAAGCACCCGAGGAGCTGTGTGACCTTGGGGACCTGCTCGACCACTTCTGAGGCTCGGTTTCCGCTTCTGCAAAGTGAGATTAATCACCAGCTGGCCTCAAAGTCACTGTGAGAAGGAAAGAACACAAGGTCTTCCCTTCCTGGGTGACTCAGTCGCCCTCAGCCACCGCTGCCGGTATGACAGTAGATAGAAAGAAAAGGTTCCTGGTATAAGATTACATTCTTCGCCATATTTTTTAAAAAATGTGTTTGCTTTTTGTGCCTGGCAACAGACACCTCTCACTTAGATAAGTCAGAAGAGCAACTCCAGGCCAGGCCAGGCCAGGCCAGGCCAAACTGCCGCTAATTCTGAGTTATCCTAACAGGAATTGGTGAGGATTTATTGTTTCCGATTCTTTTTTTTTTTTTTAGATTTTATTTATTTATTTTTAGAGAGGGAAGGGAGGGAGAGAGAGAGAGAGAGAAACATCAATGTGCGGTTGCTGGGGGCCATGGCCTGCAACCTAGGCATGTGCCCTGACTGGGAATCGAACCTGCGACACTTTGGTTCGCAGCCCGCGCTCAATCCACTGAGCTACGCCAGCCAGGGCTAATAAATAAAATCCTTTAAAAAATAGAATAGAATTGGGGAAATGGGCGTAACAGTAAATGAGCTGACACATGCAAAGCCCTTAGAACAGTGGCTGGCACAGAGTAAGCCTTCAGTAAGTGGCTAATAATCACAGTCTCTCCCCCCCACCCCCAAACAAGCCTGTAAGCCCAAAGACATTAAGCAAGGTGCCCAAGGACCACTCAACAAGTAAATGGGGGTGACCCTGTAGCCACCACCCACCCCGACCCATATCTGGTGGAAAGGCCACCAGTGCCCAGTTCAGACCCACTGCCTCATCACCTCCCTTGGGGGCGGTGTGCAAGAGGACCCCCTCCTCAGTAGAACACCTCATACACAACAACCTTCCGTGGGTGACAGAGAGAAGACACAGACCTGTGATGCATCAGAAAGAACTTTGAAAGCACCCAAACACACACCCAGGTGTTACTGAGCCTGCCCTAACTGCCCCTCCTCCTGGCCTTAGGGAAGCGGCTCCCTGGCCTCTTCCAGGAACCCTGCCCCTGACGACCCGTGCTGGGGATGGAGCAGAGGAAGGGGTTTCCCACCAGCGCTTGTGCCAGCTCTCCTTGGGGGCTAAGGGGGGACTGATGAGCTCCCTCTGGATCTGAGGGTGGTGAGGAGGAGAGAGAGAGGGAAAGAGAAAGCAACAGGTGGAGAGAGAGGGAGGGAGAAGGAGGGAGAGGGAAAGGGAGAGGGAAAGGGAGAGGGAGAGAGAAAGGGAGAGGGAAAGGGAGAGGGAAAGGGGAGGGGAGGGGAAGAGAGAGCAGCAGAGTCAGGGGGAGAGAGAGAGAGGGAGAGGGAAAGGGAGAGGGGAGGGAGAGGTGGAGGTGGAAGAAGAGGAAGAGGAAGAGGATGAGGAAGAAAGAGAGACCTTCACAGCTCCGGAAGGCTATTTCAGTTTTCTTTTCCCTTGGATGCAGTTTCACTTATGATGTCAGCCATCTGATTGCATGGCTCCTATTTTGGAAACTCCCTCTGGGGGACACCCCCTCTAGTGGCCTGACGCGCTCCCTATAAAGGGCCGGCCCGAGCTGCAGAGCATCCCTGCAGAGGTTGCTCACACAGCCCAGGAGCTCCCACAGCCTCTGCCCTCAGGTACCATGAAGGTCTCCGCCACCGCCCTGGCCGTCCTCCTCGCCGTTGCCGCCTTGTGCGCTCCCGCGTCCGCCTCGCCGTGTAAGTGCCTGCCCTGGCCACCTGCGTCGGACTTTGCCCTCTTTTCAGCTACGGCATGTGTACTGTCTGGACCCTGTGGTTTACATGCTTCCTCATTGCTTCTCCCGGGCACCCAGGCGTGCCTGATGGATCTCTAAGCCACCTCATGGCAGGCACCCTCTGATCAGCTTGTCTGTGTCTCCGGGGTCTGCATCCCGAGCTTGCAGGGGCTCACCGGGGCAGACTGGTGCGGGGGGGTGGGGGTGGGTATCAGAAGGCAGGGGCAGCTCAAGCTGCGCTGCAAATACGCTGGCTCCAGCCCAGCACCGGCAGGGTCTCTAAGAAACTTACAGGCACTGAACTGAAACCCTCCCAGGACAGTGATCTTTTCCCCCATTTCATAGAGAGAGAGAAATGGGGCTTGGGGAAGGATGACTAAAGCTAATGAAATATGGTGCCTACTCTGGGTCAAGTATTTCGCTGATTACTTTATACAGGCAATCTTATTTAAGAGTCACAACTGCTCTTTGAGTAGCTGTCCTTGATGGGGAAACAGAAGCCCAGAGAGGTTCAGGAACTTGCCAAGATCACACAGCCAGGAAGGAGAGAGTCTGGGGTTCAAACCCCAGACTCTGTTTGGCTCTTAAACCCCCCCTGCTCTGCTGGGAAATGGCAACTGACCTTTCCCAGGGTCATCCTGAAGTGACTGACCAACGAAAATCCTCCTCCTCTGAGCACATCTTACTACGCCTCAGTCAGGGCCCCCAGCACCCAGTACACATCTTCACTGAGGTTTGGGAGCCTCCTCCCAGCCCACCGCATGTCTCAGAGAAACCAAGTCCTGAGTCCATCGAGGATCCCAGGAGGGCAAGAATTAGGGCAGAGGGCCGAAGACGAGTCAGGAGGAGGCCCAGCCGTGTCCTGAGAGCCAGGCATGGGGGCGACAGTGCAGAGAGAAGGACACAAGTCAGGCTCAAGGATCAGATAGATGAGGGACTGCGGAAATCCCCTCTGCCCTCTGCTGGTGTCCCCACCCCCAACCCCGTCACTGTGTGCCCACGGCGGAGTGACCTTACCTCTCCGAGCCTCAGTCTCAGCCCAAGGAGGACAACGGTTTAGCTGAGATAAATCATCTAAAGTAGCCAGCACAATACCCATTGTGCACCGGCAGTGAACTCAAGGGTCTCCTTCCTTCTCCCAGACGCCTCCGACACCACTCCCTGCTGCTTCGCCTACATCTCCCGCCCGGTGCCGCGGGCGCACCTGCAGGAGTATTTCTACACCAGCAGCAAGTGCTCCATGCCAGCGGTCGTGTGAGTCTCAGTCCCACGGAGCCCTCCGGGGTGGGGGGTGGTGAGGGAGGGACCTCTTCTGTTGCAGAGCCTGCCCCCACGGGAGCCCTCTGGATGGGAGGGTGCTGCACCCACTCCCTCCCATCCTCTAGCTGCTCAGATAGCCACGGTGCCACCCTCTCCAGCTTCAGACGCCCCAGCTCTCAAGGGAAGGATTAGACAAGATGTTTTCGGAGGGTCCTCCCCACTCAGGGATTAGATCAGGCCTCCTGTCTTTACAACAGCTGTGGCTCTAGACTCGCACGTCACCTGCACAGCCCTGCGGCTTGGCTGGCTGATCACTTTCCAGTTAAGAAGCCCCCACACCCCACACCCCACAACCAGTCAGACAAATCCACCCAGAGCCCCAGGGGACCTAGGGAGGAGCGATCAGAAGTCAGGGTCCCAGTTACAGTCACTTGTGTAAAAAAAAATACTATCAGTGGGTGAAGAAATAACAGAATGAGACTCTCCTTTAAATATGCAAGCTAAATCACTCAAAAAATATATAATAATCCCTACTACTCAGGAAGTGCCTACTGTGTGTCACATGTCTCTCCAAGTCATCGCAGCAGCCCTGATGGGTGTGCGAGGCTCTCCCCCCATTTCAGATGATAGAGCTGAGACCCAGCGAGGGTTCAGTTGCCCCGCGGCGCCCAGGAAGTGAGGGATACGCCCTGTCTCCGTAGGCAGGCCATGAGTGAGAGCCACTTAAGAAATGTAAGACGATGGAGATGGAAAGAATGAAAGTGGGACAGTCATGACGTTTCCTGTATCCTGGAGACGTCTTTACATCCAAAAACTCCTGCGACACCAGCAGGATCCTGGGCGTTCAGAGTCGGCCTCTGGTTCTAGAGAACCCTTCCGAGGGTAGTGCTAATATTTAGCACTACGAGTTTCGTTTCTAAAAACAAATATTTTCCAAAAGAGGAAAGTCCGTCTTTGAGCACCTGCTACGGGCAGGCGGACAGGTGGGCAGGCGGACGCCCCACAGGTGGACGGGCCGAGAGGAGCGCACCTCGCGCCCTGCCCCAGGGGCTCTCAGCCAGGTCAGAGGATGAGACAGACCAGGTTGTGCATAAGAATGTGACGGAAGGCTTCAGGGCTCAGGAGACGGGACTGCAGGGGAGTTTGCTGCAGAAGGTGCTGTTTGAGTTGGGAGCAGAGAAGCCTGAGGGACCGGGTGTTCCGGGCAAGGGCCTGTCCCCGGGGCTCTCCTTTGGTCTATGTCCAGCCTGGGGGCTTTGAGTGGCAGCCCCGGGAAGCCGCAGGGTTAGCCTTGCCACCTGTGGAATGAGCGGGGACAGGAAAACCCAGAAAATAGGGGTCCCGTGCAAGGGCCGTGGTCATCGCCCACGGGAGTGGCACTGAGGGCTGCACAGTACTCGAAAGGAAGGGAGGGAGAGACGGGGGACACCTTCAGAGGAGCAGTCGGCAAGCCCCTGATTCCTTCTGTGAAGTCAGGAGCAAAGAAGAGAGAAGGGGTGGGGGTGGCACTGGGCTTCAGTCCAGATCGTCGGCAGCAGCCGGGAGGAGGCCCCGGAAGAAGTGCTGTGGAAAGGGGAAGGAGCGCCCTGGCCGCCCTGGCCGGGGTGGGGTGGCTCAGTTGGCTGCAGCGTTGCCCCCCCGTAACCGAAGGGTTGTGGGTTTGATTGTGGTCAGGGCGCATGCCTAGGCTGCGGGTTCCATCCCCAGTCCGGCACGCAGGATCGCCTGTCCTGTCCGGGTGCATAAGGGAGGCAACCAATCGATGTTTCCATCTTATATCAGTATCTCTTTCTCTCCCTTCTCTAGGAGCAATGAGAGAGAGAGAGAGAGAGAGGGAGGGAGAGAGGGTGGGGAGAGAGAGAGAGAGAGACTGAGGTTGGAGCTAGGGAAAGGGTGCTGGGACTAGGGGTGCGACATCCTTTTATACAGGAGGAAGGGCTCCCCCGGCCTAAGAGTGGCAATGAGCGTCATCCTGGCAGGCGGCAGGCCTGGGCTGCTCGAGTCCCAGCGAGTCCCAGCGAGTCCCAGCGTCGCCCGCTGGGAGCCGCATGAGCTTCAGCCGGTCTCTTAACCTCTCCCCGGCTTCCTCTGTCAGGTGGAGTAAAATAGAATTCTTTCCCCCACTGGGTCAAAGCGAGAAGAACAAAATGAAAGATAAAATTAGAATATTTCCTTCTCCTCCCGTAAATGTATTACTAAACGCAGACATGTGACAAGTGAAACTTGGTGAGTGAATGCAGCCCCCTCACTTACTCATTCAGCAGCTATCCATTAACCACCCGCTGGGCGCTGGGCCCAGGGCCAGGGACTGGGGAAAGCACGCGCGCGCCCGGAAAAGAAAAAGGGCAGCAACTTCTAGTAATTCTCACGGACCAGGTGGAGGTGGAGGCTCCCAGGAGATGGAGCAAGAGGAGAGGCAGGCGGGAAGCCAGGCGAGGAGAGGGTGCCCGGGAGGGGTGCAGGGGGAGAAGGCCTGGCGCGGGGGCGGGGGAGGGGGGGCGCTGTCCTCCGGTGTCACACTGGACGCCCCGACCCCGGACGTTGGTTTCCTGGCCTTCTCGCTTCCTGGCCACAGGCCGAAGGGGCCGAGGGGAGAGAAGACGGTGAGTCAGCAGGGTTTCCTGTGTGACCTACCCAGGGCGGGGGGGGCAGGGTCTGAAGCTCCCTCACCGCCCCAAACGAGCAAACACACACCAGGGGGCACAAGAGCCCAGGACGCCCCCTCTGCACCCTGCACGCCAGGGTGGGGGCGGGGGCGGGGCGGCCGCAGGGCTCTGAGCCGGGCTCAGAAGAGGGGAAGCAGCTTCCCTGAGAGCGAACACTCTCCTCGATAGAGCGTGGAAAGGGGCCAAAAATCCTCATTCTCGCCAGACAGCCTGAGCCTTCCCTTTGGAAACATCCCAAAGGAGAAGCCGAAACAAGAAAGGCCCAGTGGGTGGGGCTAGCCGCAAAGTAACGCGTTGGTCGGTCGGTCGGAAGCACCGCTCCCTGGGCCCTTAGTGGTTGACCAGCGCCCCCACCCCCGGTCCTTGGGCCCCGCGCCCATCATCTCTCCAGGCTGCACGTGTTTGTGCGTGAGTCACAACGCACACCAATCTGCTCTGCCCCGGGGCCCTCTGAATCAGCTGAAGAGCAAATGTCCTTTCCTTAAAAGCCACAGATCCAGGCTTACGGAGCTCCCAAGCCAACCCGCCCAGGACCACCATCGTCTCCCCTAACGCTTCCATCCCTCTCGTTCCCGCAACGGGGCGCCCGAGCGCGGACGGGGCCTCACTCCCGCCTTCTCCTCTCCCGCAGCCTGATCACCCGGAAGAAGCGCCAGGTGTGCGCCGACCCCGAGAAGAAGTGGGTGCGGGAGTACATCAACACCCTTGAGATGAGCTAGGGCGGAGCGCGCCTCGAAGCTGAACCTGCGCGACCTTTCTTATTGCTTCTTGCTCTCGTCCTCACCAGCTTAGGAGGCTCCTCCCCAGTCCCCTGCTCCCACCCCTCCCTGCAGGGCCCACACTCCGCCGCACAGCAGCCGCCGTAAAGGCGTCCCGCACCTGAAGCCTCCGCACAGGAAATCTCCGGACTCTGAGCTTCAGGGCCCTCGGCTCTGCAATGAGGAAGGAAGACAGCGCGCCTCTGGAGGCGAAGAAGGGTGAAAAACGGGGCTTCTGTGCAAATATCCCACGGCCACAGCGCTCACCTCGGCCCCTCACTGGGATAGGCTGATTGGCAAAAGTGACAAACTGTCTTTCCATTAAAGTTATCGAGGCAATAACAAAGCCGGCTCCTGGTTTGATTTCCTCCTCGGGACCCTGCCTTCCTCATGAGTGCTATGCACTCAGGGGTCCAGGGCAGGCACGCGTCTGGTGTCCACCCTAGATTTGGGGGCCATGGAAAATAAAAACCTTTAAATGAATGAATGAATGGAGCCCTGGCTGGTGTGGCTCAGTGGATTGAGCGCCAGCCTGTGACCCAAAGGATCACGGGTTGGATTCTCAGTCTAGGGCACATGCCTGGGTTTTGGGCCAGGTCCCCAGTAGGGGGCGCTGAAGAGGCAACCACATATTGATGTTTCTCTCCTTTCTCCCTCCCTTCCCGTCTCTAAAAATAAATAAATAGAATCTTTAAAAAAATAAATGAATAAAGAGAAGCACCAACACAAAATGTGGTGGTCACATTGTGGGTAGGGGGATTACACCCCTGAATGGGGAGAGGCATGGTGCCTAGGGGAGAAAAGAGACTTAAAAGATAACATTTTTTAGAAGATTTTATTTATTTATTTTTAGAGAGAGGGAAAGGGAGGGAGAAAGAGAGGGAAAGAAACATCCATGTGCCTCTCTGGCGCCCCCTCCTGGGGACATGGCCCACAGCCCAGGCATGCGCCCTGCCTGGGAACCCAACCGGCAGCCCTTTGATTCGCAGGCTGGCACTCCACCCCCTGAGCCACACCAGCCAGGGCAGATAACATTTAAATAGGGTTTGAAAAATTTGCAAAACTGTGTAAGAGGTGGAAACGAAAATGACAGTCCTGACGGGTAGAGGGAAGAGCATATGCAAAAGTAGGAAATATGAACGGCTTCCCACAGAGTTCGCGCAGTCCCTCGCCGCCAAGGAGGGCAGCGGGTGAATGAGAGGGGCTTCCCCCGCCCGCCACCCCGCCTGCCGTTTTACTGACAACTGATCCTGAGAACCCCTGCCCCTTACAGGGGTTTACATGAGCCTGACACTTCACCAAATGTGTTGGCTCTTTTTTTTTTAATTTATGCCTCCCCACAGCCCCCCTAGTTAGCTAGACGGTCATGACTTCCCCACTCTTCAGAGGAGAAAGCTGAAGCCCCCCAGAGGTCAAATGACCAGCTCAATCCACAGGCCAAGTAGTTGCCGGGGCCCGGGTTCAAGAATGGAACTGCAGCGTTCTATTCCCCTAGGAGACCTGGCGGCTGGGCACGTGGAAGCTTCTGTCTCCAGAGGCCCGGACACCTCGCTAGTCCCTCTTGTGTAGCCCAAGACAGGTCCCCCTGAGCTGCGTACCACGCCCCCAAAGGCCCTGTACTCTACCACCACCACCACCACCCTGCCGAGTTCCCTCCGGCCCCACTGGAACAACAAAAGCATGGCCCAGGAAAAGTTGGTCAATATCTCCGACATCTCCAGGTCAATGCTCAAGTACCCCTGGCTGGAATACCCAGACAGGATCAAAGGTGAGGCCGGCGTGGAGAGGACGGAATCTGGGCCGGGGGTCTGAGAAGGAGAGCTCCCTGGCGGCTCCCCTCCCAGGCAGCGGGGTCTGGGTGAGTTCAGCAAAGCCTCACCCTGGAAGGGGTCAGGGCAGGTAGGCCCCCGGGCCCTTTGGTGGCTCCGCACAGCCCTTGAGGTAAGTCTCCAGGGTCCTCGAAGGTGGGACCCCTCGGGTTTCTCCAGCTTCTGCTCCCACACCCACACCCTGGCCCCCTACCTGATTCTCAGACCTCCAGATCTTTGTGTAAGTCGTTCCCCATGCTCAGGGCCCCTCCCCCTCAAACCTGGCCTGAAGACTCAGCCTGTATAATCTCTGGGAGACCTTCCCCAGTCCTCCCAGCCAGGGGCAGGGCCCCTGGTCCGGACCACCTGTCTGACCTCTGTGTCCCTCTGGCAATCACCGCCACACAGACAGTCCTGTCTTTCCAGCTAGTCCAGGGGTTCTCAAAGTGCGGTCCCTGCGCCGGCAGCAGCAGCATCTTCTCGGAAATGCGAACTCTCGGGCCCAATCTCCTGAGCCAACACTCTGGGGACGAGTCCCAGACATCCGCTCTAACAAGCTCCCCAGAGGGTTCTAACGCACACTCAAGTGCGGGGCCCGTGGTTTCGCCAGGAGCTGCACGTTAGAACCCTCTGGGGAGGCTCCCGAACCGCCCAGGCCCCTTCCCCAGAGAACCCGCCCTGGTTCTGTGAGTCTGACGGAGGGCCCAGGCACGCTGCTAAAAGTTCCCTCAAAAATTCTCAGTCGCAGCCAAGGTGGAGAGTCCCTCTGCCAGGCAGACCTCAAACTTCGAAGGACAGGGTATCCGGCACAAATAACGCCCCCACCTTTTTTTTTTTTTTAATTTTATTTATTTATTTTTAGAGAGGGAAGGGAGGGAGAAAGAGAGAGAAAAACATCAATGTGCAGTTGCTGGGGGCCGTGGCCTGCAACCCAGGCATGTGCCCTGACTGGGAATCGAACCTGCGATGCTTTGGTTCGCAGCCTGCACTCAATCCACTGAGCTACACCAGCCAGGTTTTTTTTGTTTCTTTGTTTTGTTTTTTTTTAATGAGCTGGTGATCTATACCAACTTTTATTCTTACAAAATCGTAAGCATGAAATTCTGTAACACAACAATGTCACGCTCCAGCACACCACACGACGTTTTAGGTGAAGGGCTCAAATCGCCGTCCTTCTCGCGCCAGAGGTTCAGGTACCACACCAACTGCATGCAACGGCGTTGCTTCTGCCGGACCCCGAACATAGACATCTTGTTAAAACGGAGATGCTGATTTGGGAGGCCTGGGGGGTGGCGGGTTGGGGTGCCTGAGAGTCTGCACTTCTGAGAAACTCCCGCGCGACGGCCGTCCTGTGCCGTCCTGTGCCGTCCGCACACCGCAAACCGTGAGCGGCCAGGTGCCGGGAAAGGAGGAGCCCCTGAAGGACGGGACAGTGCCTGTTGACCGCCCCGTGCCCGGCACTGGGTTTCTCGCAACGCCGAATCAGCGGAGGGAGGCCTGAACGGGTGGTTCTTTAACCCACCTTCGTAACCGCGGTCTCATTCTTACCCCAGAACTCAAAAAAGCCATGGCACCTGTTCACCTGCCCTTGTCCTGCTTCCAGGTAAGACCCGTGACTTCTGCCTCCCCGGGAGCTTTGTTGAAGCAGGAGGGACAGCAGACTGTCCCGTCCCGTCAAGGCCAGTGCACGGAACCCCGACGCTCCCCCTTGGGGCTGCCGCTCATTCCTGGACAAGCCCCTCCTTCCCTGAGCCCCAGGGGCTTCCTCTGCCACAGGCCAGGCCTTGCGTGGCGCCCCTGAAGGAGGTGCTGGGAGACAGCATCTGCAAGGCCTGGGCTGACGGGCGGGCCGTGCTTAAGGATAAGTCGTTTTTATTCATAGCACAGAGACCCTCCGAATATACAGGGTGCCTGGTTAAATTTCAATGTCAGACAGAGACGGTATCATGTTTAGTATGTATACGTCCCCAATATTGCATTCCTTACCTGTAGTCCCAATGGCCCTGAATGTCCTGTGTTCATTTGTGCGGCGTTTACTGCTAAACCGGAGACCGCGCTGCCACTCTCGCCGCCCGCCCCCACCCGCCCCGCCCCGCCCCAGATGCCCAGGGAGGAGTACCCCCCGAGCCCAGAGCGCTGGAGGCTGCACCAGAGCCATTCAAAGACGGTGCCTTACGGCTACTCCGAGCAACCCGAACTCTACACGTACTGGCAAACCCTGTATGAGCATCGGCGGGAGCGGAAGGCCCAGAAGATGTTGCAGAAAATGAGGGCCCACCCCAGGTGTGCTTCAGCCCTCCGTGTTCTCCCCACCCTCCCAGCCCAGGAGGGAGAGGGCAGGGGTGTGGTGGGGCCGGGAGGGGAGCGAGTCAGCCCACAGACCCCAGGGAGGACCCTGGGGCAGGCGTGGGCCTGTCTGCCTTCCTCTGCTCCCGTCTCTGAGCTGGGCCGAGAACCGGGGGCCCAAGGAGACTTTGTGAGGGTGGGAGGGAGGCAATGAGGGGACCACGGCCGCCTGTGCAGTTTTGTACACAGGAACCTCAAAGAGGGCACAGCTGCCCAAAAAGCCTTCCTCCCCATGACGCAGCTGACTGTGAAACCTCAGAAGGGGCCCAAGTCTTTACTCCCTGCTGGGGACTCCCTGAAGCGGCAAAGATTAAAGGTCAGGGACCGCGGTGGGAGGGAGGGAGGGAGGGAGGGGAGACGCCCTTCCTGGGGATGCTCTGGCCTTGGGCTCACTCCATCCTTCCGCCCTTAGACCCCTGCCTGCAAAGTGGAGGGAGGAGAGGAAAAGGGATGGGAGGGGATGAGCTCCTTTCAGCTGGAAGTTCTGCAACGACACGGACCCCTTTCTTCCCTTCCCCTGGCTCCTCTGGACGGGCAGGAGCTCACGCAGAGCCTGAAAGCCCCCAGAGAGGACGAGCAGTTCTACGCGGCACAGGTGAGACGTGGCAAGGGTGGAGGAGCACGGGCGGCCGCAGGTGGGAGCTGGCTGAGCTGGAGAGCAGAGAGACGCTTGGGGGGGAGGGGCGGTAAAGGGGGGGGTGTTCCAAGAACAAAGTCCAGCTCTGTGCGGAGAATGGGAACCCCGGGGTAGTATCTAAGGCCCCTTCCCTTTCCTCCACCCCCGCCCCTGCAGGCTCTGGGGTGCCTGGGCGTCGGTGACAAGTTTGTCATAGAGGCGCTGCTCCAGGTGGTGAGTCGGGGGCCGAGCTGGGTTCAGGAGAGGAGGGAACAGGGCGTGAGGAACGTGGGTGCGTGGGCATATGCAAATCTCGAGAGGGACCCCAGGGTCAGCCCCAGGGAGGGTCAGCCCAGGGTGGGTCAGCCCCCAGGAGGAGAGCTGCCCGGCCCTGGCACACACCACTCACGCCCTTGGCTTCCTTAAAGGGCGGCTTGATCCAAGAGGATGGGGAAGGCAGAGTCTGAAGATCCCTTTTGCCTGAGAAGAGACAACCGAAAAGCTAGGCGAGAACTGAGACTGAGTTCATTCTCCACCCTAACTGAGTCAATCAGGGCCTCCTGTTTATTTGCCAGTGTATGACGGAGAGCACGCACCCTCCTCCATGATCTTATTTAAACCTCACGGTGCTAGGAATAGGTAGTAGCATCTGCATTTTCTTAGCGAGAAAACGGAAGCGCGGAGAGGCCAAGCGACTTGCCCCAGGCCACGGGGCTGCTAGCTCCCAGACAGGTATTGGAGGGGCAGTCTGACTCCCCCCAGGTGGCCTTCTTCCTCCTCCCCCTGCACCGTCCTGGCTGTAGCCTGTATTTGAGCCAGGGCAAGTCACTCTCCAGGCCTCCGTCTGCTTATTTAGAAAATGACGTTAAGAGCCGAGATTCTCAAAGCTCTGACATTCTGTCGCCTCACGGCAGGTTTCCACCACCTCCCTCTTAACCCAGGCCCGAACCGGTCCGGAGAGGGTGGTGCGGGAGGCCTACAGAACCCTGGCCATGCTGGGTGAGTGCGCCCTCTCCCTGGGCGGGGAGCCGGGGCAGGTGGGACGGGACTGGGCCGCGGAGCCCTCTGGGTAAGGGCGGGAGGGGGTGGAGCGCACGCCCACTCCCACCTGCCATCCACCTGGCCCTCGGCCGGCCGCGGGGTCCGAGAACTCACCTCGGTACCATCGGGTCGGGCGGACGGAGGCGGGGGCGGGGGAAGGTGGAAGGGGAGACTGGAAGTGAGGCGGTGCTCCGCCACCGCGCTGGTGTCCCCGGGAGGAGGGCGACACCTCCGGACCTGGTGCTCGGAACCTGCCTGGAGGGCGCAGCGGAGCCGGTGGCGCCTGGCGGAGGCGGGGCCCTGCCCCGGCCTGAGGACCCTCCCCGACCAGGTTGCCTGGAGAAGGAGGTGATCCAGGCTCTCATCGCGCAGCTGGAGGGGCAGAGCGAGGAGCTGAGGATGGATACTCTGAGGGGACTCCGGATAGCGCTCAGCTCCTGGGCCGCTGTCCCCAAAGACAAGGTGATTGGGAGGCGCTCGGTAGCCGGGGGCGAAGCAGCACATGGCAACCGCCGGTGCTGGCTTGGGGTTCGGTCAGGCACAAGGGAACCTCGCTGTGCATTTTGATGGGGAACCTTCCTGGCCGGAAGCCCTGGCGTAGCCCCCCGCAGTCCCACGGCCTCTGAACAGCCAGCTTCCAGAGCCACCGTGCGCCCGCGTCCAAGTCGGAGACAGCGAGTGCCCTGGGGCAGCGCCGGGAAGACTGGGTGGGGCGACGCGCGTGGAGTGCCTCGTGCGGTGCCTGTGCTCTTTGAATGGTACCCCCCGTTGTCGTCACCCCTAAAATAACCCATTCGAGGAAAACCTGTCACTCAGGAGGGGACAGGGACCAAGAGAGTCCGCTGACACTGCTCAAGATTTCTCCCCTTTAGGCTCCTCTTACGTTGACCCCGTCACTGTTCCAAGTGAAACAGAATTCGGCATTCGCCCATTTACTCCACAAACACGCACTAAACAGCTGCCGCGCGCCAGGCTCTCTCCTGGGCCCTTGGGAGGAGGCCTCCGTGAGCCCAACAAAGATCCCTGCCCTTGTGAGCTTACATTCTAGTGGGGGCCGGCCCTAGAAACCGACCCACTTCACTGCATCGGGCGTGAGAGGCAGCGAGCGCCGTGGAGAAGGCATGCAGATGGGCGCGGGGGATCAGGAAGGCCAGGCGGGGGCGGGGAGGGGGTCGCGACCTGAAACGTGGAGGAGAGGGAAGACCTCGTTCAGAAGGTGTCTCTGAGCACACAGGCCGGCGAGGTCAGCCTTGCAGACACGAGAGGAGGCGTTCCCGCGCAAGCACCAGTCGGTGCGGAGGCCCTCAGGCAGGGCCACCCAACGAGGACCGGACCGGCGGGCAGGCCAGTGCGGCTGCGGGGGAGTGGGACTGGAGAAAGCGGCAGGACGTGGAGCTGGGTCAAAGGGAACGGACACTGGATCCGACATGGCCTTCCGGACAACGTGAAGTACTGGGGCTTGACTCTGAGTGGAATAGGGACCCATGGGGGCCACGCAGCGGGTGGCACCATCCAGCATTCCGAAAGGCCTACCCTGACCACCGTGTTGAGAAAAGATGGGAGGCGGGAGGCAAGGCGGAAGCAGAAAGGCCGAATTCGGGGCGACTGAGGCAATCCTGGTGGGAGACAGTGGGCATGTTCTAAAAGCGAAGCTGGCCGGTTGAGTGTGAGCTGTAAGAGGCGGTGTGGAAGCAAGGACGAGGCCAAGGTTTCCGGCTGGCCCGATGGAAGGGTGCGGAAAGCTGCAGGTGGAACCGCTTGGGAGGTAACACCTCAAGTCCAGTTTGGGGCAGGTGATGTTGGAGAGGTCTGTCGGATACGCAGTTTGGAGTTTACAAGAGAGGCCTGAACTAGAGGAAGAAGGAGTTGTCGGCATAGGGAGAGCATGGAATGTCATTCAGCTGGACCAGCTCGCTGACCAAAGAACCAGGATCCGAGCCTTGGCGCACCCCAGTGTTCAGAGAAGGGGAAGACCCAGGCCGGGTGCAGTCCCACAGTCGTGGGCATCGGAGGCCAGCTGGGAGGGTAGGAGGGGATGGCCAGAGGGGGGCCCCTGAAACGGAGATCGTGGAGAAGCTGCAGCCATGAGTGATGGAGGTGTCTCTGTGGGAGTCAGGGGCCGACAGGGCGGAGGATGGGAACTGGATCGGTGATGTGTGTGTTCTTGTTAATGCCAGGAGTTAGACAGCAGAAGCGCCAGAGAGAGTGACAACGATCCATTCGGAAGATAAAGTCACAGAGAGACGAGAGGGTGTGACCTGGGAGCAAGTAGTTGACAGCAAAAATGAGGCGAAGTGGGGAGAAGAATCCGCCTGCACGACAGACTGGCTTAGGGAGGAGGGAGCAGGGTCTGGAAGCAGCGACGCACTGGCCGCAGCCCGGCTGAAGACACAGTCCCCGCCCCGTCCCCTCTGTCTCCCTCTCAGAGGTCTCAAGTCGGGGACGAAGCGGCGCTCCTGTCCGTGCTGCAGAAGCTGATGCAGGCGCCGCCGCCGGCCGAAGCAGCCTTGGAGGCGGCCCTGTGCTTGGGCTTCCTGAGGCCCGGCAGCGGCGCGGTCCGCGAGTTCTTGCTGCAGTGCCTGCGCAGAGGGCCCCGGCCCCAGAGCATGAAGGTGCGAGGGGCAGGCGGCTGGGCTCCCTGGGGAGCTCGGGGCCCCGTGCTGACATCCCCAGGGCCTGGGCCCTGTCATCCCCGCCCCGGGGAAGAGAAGCTTCAGCAGGGGGTACTGTGGGAATCTGTGTATGCATGGGGACGGGGCCACGTGGATTTAAAACGTCCGTGCGTCTGTGCACACTGGATTTGAGTGGGAATCCATCTGTGTGCGTGCACACGGGAGAGGCAGGACCCCACGCATCCCCCACAAGCCCTACACTCCGCCCTCCGGATGCTTGTTGGACCCACCCACCCTGCCTGCCCCCGACAGGCACTTAGGATGCTGGTCAAGAGGATGGGTGTGCACTCAGCCGAGACCATCAGGGCCATCCTGGACCAGCTGTGCCATTCCAACGTCCTTGAGGTGAGCTCCGGGCCGCCCGGTGCCCTTGCTGCTGCAGCATGAGGACAGGGTCGGGGGATGGACGAGAAAGACGGTCTGTCCCTCACGCCTCCCCACCGCTGCCCTCAGCACCGCTTGGAAGCCACCCAGCTGCTCAAGGCCATGGGGCTGGAGCAGATCCAGGCGCAGGGAGTGGAGGGCCTCGTCTTTGACCTGCTCAGGAACAAGATACACAATGAACCCTTCCTCGTAAGTGAGGCCCGGGCTCCCCAGCCCGCGCAGCCCGAGGATCGAGTTCGCCCTCCCCCAGTTTCCCTCACGCGGCCCACGTTTCCCAGCCACCGTGCCTTTGCTCGGGCAGTTCTCGCAGCAAATGCCTCCCTCCCTCCCCTGCAGGGTGCAAAACGCGTCACCCCCACCGGGGACTCCTCTCTCCTTCTGCAGGAGCCCCTTCGAGACCAGCCCACACACCAAGTCACTGCAAAACAGACTCATGTCCGCCCCTCTGTGACCCCTTGCTTTTTTACCTTTGGAATAGCTTACCACAAAACTAGCCGCAGGACTTGTACCTGAATCGGTTAGAAGTGAATCAGGCTGTGTCTCCCCTGGGCGAGACCCTTGCAGCAGCGCCCCAGGGCCCTGAGAATGGTCTACCCTGCTCTTCACCTCCCACGGCCTGCCTGCTGACTCCTCCGGCTGCGTCCCAACCGTGCTCCCCTGAGAACCACACACCAGCTGTGCTCCGGGCGCGCGATCCTGACTGTTCCCTGGGTCCCCGTGTGCCGCACTTTGAAGAGTCGCAGTTTGGTCACCCAGCTGCACCGATCCATTTTCTGTTCTCTAAACACCCTGTGCTCTCCCGCTGGACTCCGGGCTTCTGCACCTGCCCCCCTCTGCCGGGAAAATCACCCCCGCCGCCGCCCGGCCTCTGCCTGGTTAACTGCCACTTACCCTTCAGGCGTCTGCTGAGGAATTAACTCCTCTAGGAAAAATCTTGCTGGTACGCAGACTGCGTTAGGGGACCTTGCTGTGCCCACCCCACGCTCTTCATTCAGTTGTGACCCTGATCACAGAGACGTCCTTCCCTCCCACCCCCAGACCACGAGCAAGGCCCGCGGTACGGGCAGCACAGACTAAACGTTCACCAAAGGTGTGTGAAGCACTGCAGGGCACACCCTGCATCCCTCTCCTCCCCAGGTTATGAGGCAGGCTGTGGCTGAAACTGTGGAAGAGCTCAAGATGAAGCCTACGATGTTGAACTTGGTGGAGGCGTGAGTGGCTTGGGCTGGGAGCTGCCAGGGCCAAGTCCTAGGCTGGGGGGCAGGGGCACAGGGTCACAGAGCTCAGAATCTGCTGCCAGTCCCCAGCTCTCGCCTGCTCGTGTCCCTGGCCAAGTCTCGCTTTGACCCCTCGACTTTCCTCCAACTCTGAAAAGAGGCTGGTTATCCCTACCACGCAGGGCTGTCCCTATAAAGCTCAAACTGAGATGAGGACACGAAAGGTCAAGTTCTGGACAGATGTGACTGTCATGAAGCACCTCCTCGCCAATTCCAGTACCTGCCTTTCCCCTCCCAGCCCCTCTCCTGACCCAAGAATCGAGGAGAAATTAATGAGATTAGCATCACTCAGCAGCCTCATGCCCAACTCACTCTGGGCCGTAGTAAGAAACAGTCGGCCTTCCTCCCACTGCCCCTTAAACGGGACCGCACGCTCACTCCCTTCGACACAGGCAACTGATGAGCTCCAACGCCATTGCCCGCCGGGAGGCAGTCATCTCTTTGGTAAGACGCTCTGCTCCTCTGACCAGGTGGGCTGCTGGCAGGGGCGCCAGGCACCTGAGCAAAATTACTGAGGGCAATTCAGGGCTGTAAAGGTTGGGGAGGTTGTTTGCTGGCTTGTTTATCCCACAATTCCAGCCCCGCCCGGAGCTCAGAGTAACTTCTTCTTCTTCGGGACCGGAGGTCGGTGGGACAGGGGACAGGAGGTGGGTGTGAGGAGCATTGCTGAGATACCGCAGAGACTGTCTGAGCCCTTGCTGGTGGTGAGCAGTGCGCACTGGCAGCCAACGCGGTGGCCCGAAAAGGCGAGGAAAGGGACAGGCACCTCGGCTGGGAGCCTGTCTCAGCTCTCCAGGCCACGGGGCCGCCTCAAGGGGGCGAGCAGGGGCAAGAGCACACGCAGGTGCCCCCCGGGGGGGCTGGCTCCTTAGGCACGGTCTCCTGTGCCGTTGCCAGGGCGTCCTAGGGGTCCGCAGCCTGCCGGTGTTCAACTTGCTCCTGGACATGCTGGGCGAGGAGAACAACCAGTCTGTGAAGAAGAGTGTAAGGCGCTCCTGCCCTCCTCCTCCTCTCCTCAACCCCTCCTCCCAGCCTGCCCCATCCATCCTCGCGCCACGTTCTTTGTGGGGAGGGAGGAGAGGGGAATAATCCCTCAGCCACCGTCCCTTGACCTCATTCCTTGGGGCCACAGCGGCCTGTGGCCAGAGCTCCCCTGGGTTACTCCCTCCACTCCCAGACTCAGCCTGAAGTGAGCCAGCCACCGGCCCTTTATTTCGATGCAGCTACAAGAGGCATTCGTCGTTTTGGCCTCAACTGATCCCTGGATCCAAAACAAGGTGAAAAACAAGGTTCTCTGTGTACAAGAGGCACCGAAGGACGACGAGAAGGCGGGGCCCGCGAGGTTCAGGCAAAAACTCGACAGCCCAGAGGAGTTAGACATCCAAGACTTCCGACTTGTACAGCTGAGACCCTTGCTCATTGCAAAGGCCAGCGCCGCAGCCGGCCTGCGGGAAAAGCCAAGCGCCCAGGAAGGGTCCACCTGCTACTTCGCCTCTGCCTTCCCTCCCCGCTTCCCTGAGCCACCACAACACAAGCCCCCGGCGCTAGGGCCCTGGACGCCCGCCATCAGGAAGCAGCTCCAGATCCTTGCCAAAACCTCCACGTAGGTCAGTTCTCTGGGTCTAACCCTCGCTTCCTGAGGGTGCGTCTCAGGCTGCCCTGAGGAAACAATCTCGGCCTATCTCCCCTGAATAAACGCGGTCCCCCCGGCCTGCCACTACGGGTCCCTTCTTCAGCGGGTACACCGGAACACAGGCCTCCTGGCTCCCGGCTGGGAGCTCCTTCCGCTCAGCCACGTGTCCTTCTCACGAAGGGAGAGAGAGAGCAGAACCAAACCCGTTCGGGATGGCCAGCCTACCTCCCCAGATCAAGCCCCTGTCTATGCCCAGAACTTAAGGACAAAGCTGAAAAGCTGAGCCACCGCCCAGGGCAGGCTGCTGGAGGGACAGCAGGAGAAAATCCTGGCAAGCTTGGCTCTCGGACAATTTCCTCTTACTGACGTGCCCAACCCGCCACCTCTCTGCCATGGTCCGGAGATCGTGGGGCTCCGGTCCGACCACCACCCTCTCTGCTGTCTCTCCTCCGCGCCTACTTCCTACCCATGCCCGGGCCATTCCCTTGGACAGACGCTGTTCATTCCCCAAAACAGCTTTAGTTTCTCCCGTTTAGTAACAGCTTCAGTTCCCTTTGCTCATAGCACCTGCCGCAGCAACCCCAACAGGCTACGTCCTCCCTGTCGAGAACAAAAGTACACTCTGGAATCAGATCATCTGAAATCTGGGGTTCATCACTGACTTCATCTTTGGACAAGTGACTTGCCTTTCTGACTGTTCCTCACCTACGCAATGAAGCCAGTGATGGTGGGCGCTACTTCCGAGAGGCCCCCTAAGGATTCAAATTAAGCCCGACAGTGCCTGGCATTCCACAGCCAGCTCTCAGATGTGAACCTGTTCTCTTTTCCTCTCTCCAGTGATGTCACGTGCGCCTGTGACAACCAGAGGCTGAAAGCACCCTACCACTCCCCTTCACGTCCCCAAACTTACTGGAGCAGTCTAACAGGAGCTCAAGCTTTCCCCATCAAGCAAAGAAAGATCATAGTTAAACAGATGTTCCCTTCCCCTCCCCACACGCCAGGTTCAGGTGTAGCCCGGTCATTCTGAACCCAGCGCTGTGTCTCTCACTCAGATTTATCTCCCCTCCCGCCCTACCACTTCCAGATTCGTGCTTTGCCCCATAGAGAGTTACCGAAAACACAACAACAAAATAACAGAATCGTGCTGGAGTATCAGCAACGCTGCCTCTCACAGTATGGCACAAAGACCAGAGACAGGACAAATGATCTTCCTCTCTTGCCCAGTCCCCAGCGTCGGGCCAGTCAGCAATATAACCCAAATTTCCCCGGGCCTTGCGTGCGAACAAGGCCACACGAACTACGTCATTCTCAACCCTGCAACGCCCTGCCCGCAGCTCTGCAGCCCGCCCTCCCCCGTAGTTCTGGGTCTCTGCAGAGGACGTCTTACTACTTGGCCAGAAACCCGTCTCTGCCTGGTAGCACCTCGATCCTCGTTTGACCAAGTCTCCCTAGAAGAGTTAAGACAGCACTGAGCCTGGGGGTCTGCACAGAGCGCTCTCCCCTCTGGTTCACCACCAGCTGCAGCCAGAGTCCCCTGGAGGCCTGAAGTGCCCACTCCTGTCAGCACCAAGGTCTGTTGGGAATGATCCTGGGACAGCATCCAAAATGTACGCTCCCCCCCTCCTTTCTCTCTCGTCTTCTGATGGGTTCTGTGGGTACAAATAGCATCAACACCCCACCCCCCGCCTCTTCCTAGAGCATTCTCCCTCACCTCCGCGCTTGCTGCTGCTGCCATGCGGCTCTCGAACCGGCATCTTTCTGGAACTTCAGGGGCTGCTCGCCCTTCTACGTTCCTTCCAATGCCATCACCATCCAGAACCTTCATATAAATATGTCATTGTTTCTCTGAGGGTCCTGGTTCTCCGACCAGCTACACCATCCTCTGGTCCACTTCCTTGTTTTGTCTCATTCATCGCCTGAACCCTGGTCCTGCGTCACCCTGACCGGATGCCTTCGGACAGCCACCCATCACCCAGCTTCTCAGTCCTTGGTATCACCTAAAAGGCCTGTTTCCCCTCCTTTCTCTTCAGCTACCCACACCTCCATGGCCACACCTAGCCCTTGTCACCCCCAGGAATTTCTCCACCTCCAAAATCCTGAACACACACTTTCTGACCGAAACCTTCCATCTATCCTGTTCTTTTTATCCCCACTACCAGTTCTTCGGATCTCGTGAGCAACACGCAGGTCTTGACTTCGCTACACTGTCCCCGTTAGCCCCTCTTCTCCTCCCCCGGCCCAGCCTGGCCTCCATCCACCATCCACCGTCCTCGCTATTCCCATTCCCAACCCTGGAGCCTAGAACCGGGTTGCTGATCAGAGCCGGGGAGAAATCAGACATCCACACGGACTGGCACCCCCCAAATACTTGCCTCCTACCCGGACCAAGCCCTTATTATTGTCCGGCAATTTTCTTAATTCCTACAATGGTTATTTCGAGCTTCCTCTGCTATCCTCACATTTCCTACAGTCTCTCCAAACTTTCTAACCTGTTACTTCCCCAACTCTCAATCGACCATTATACTGTTAAGAAAAAAAACCAAAAGCCTTCAGATGGAATTACCCGAACTTCCTGCCATCTCCATCAACATCCTGTAGGTAGTGAGGAGCACAGGCGGGGAAGCCAGGTGCTTGAGCAAGAGAGGCCTGGCTCTGCCGCTTGCTAGAGATGTGATCTCGAACACGTTGCTTAACCTCTCGGTGCCTCCGCTCTTCACGGTACCTTCCAGAAAGCCCCTTCGCCGTGGCGATCAAAATCACTTACACCATTCGCCTCTCTCGTGAAATATTCCCTGCACCACCTTGCCTGACAGCAATGTTGTGAGAATTGAGTTGGCACACATACCCACACATTGCCTGTAACAGTGCTCCCAATAAATGTTAGTCATTTGTTACTACTATTGGGTTGGCCAAAAAGTTTTGATTTTTTCCATTCGATGGGTCTAGTAGGGTTTAGTTGTCTTTCACTTCATTCAAAACAATTTTGTTAGATTCTAGTGTGACAGCTGTTTATATCAGCATGCATTTTAAAAAAACATCAAAATTGGTGAATTTTTGTGCAGCCATTTTTGTATTGAAGATGGAAAAAAATACACATTTTCAGCATATTTTGTGCAGTGTATGGAGAAGGTGCTGTGACTGAATGTGTCAAAAGTGGTTTGCCAAGTTTCTTGGTGCTACTGACATTTTAGGCACATAATTCTTTGCCGTGGGGCTGTCTCATGAACTGGAAGATGTTTAGCAGCACCCTGGGCCTCTACCCACTAGAAGCCCATAGCAGGAGGTGGCCAACATACTCAAAATATCCAAATCAATAGTTATTGGTGCAAATGAAAAATGTGACTTCTATTTTATGGAAAAAACTAAGTTGACTTTTTGTCAACCCGGTATTTTATCAGCATCCGCAGCTACCCTCACCTCCACTTACAAGAGGCGCCTCCTCTTCTAAGGCAAGTCTCTCACCCCGTGTTCTAGACGCCATTCCTCCCGGGGATCTGAACACCAATCACCCCCCTGTCAGGTCACGTATAAACATGCTCAACCCTCACCCATCTTCCGAATAACCTCGCACGGCCGTGGCAGGGGTGGGCTCAGTGAGTGGGTCGTGGGTTCAATGAGTGGTCGAGGCTCATGCAAAAGGCAGCTGGTTTCTCTCTCACATCGATGTTTCCTTCCCTCCTCCCCTCCCTCTGCAACCAATAGGCATGTCCTTGAGTGAGAATGGAAAATAACCTCCCACACACCAATGGCCCCGTCTAGGTGACTCCTCTCTCCTTACCACACTCCTCATAATCAATTCTTAAATTACTGCCCACATTCTCTCTTTTCCCAGTTGGCTATTCATTACCCCATTTCAGTTCGGGTTCAGAATTCAATTCCCCACCAAAGCTGCTTTTGCGAAGGCAGTGGTTCTCAATAGGGGCGATTGTGCCCCCCCAGAGGGACATTCAGGAGACATTTTTAGTTGCCACCACTGGGGGGCTGCTACTGGTCCCTCCCACAAGAGGCCAGGGATGCTGCTAAACAGCCCACAATGCACAGGGCAGCCCTCTACAGCAAAGAATTACCCAACCCAAAAGGTCAGTAGTACCAAGGTGGAGAAACCCTGTGCAGAGATAGACTATAACCTCCATACTGCTACATATAATGAATGCTTACGAGATTCAGCCTGGCTTGAGCACCTGACATCGTTAGCTTCTCCTTCCTTGAAATTCCCTTTCCCCCTGGGTCACTGGTCACTCTGTCTCTGTTTCAGGACCCTCTTCTATCTCTTTATCAGTGTTTCTCAAGGTTCTGTCCTCGGCTCTTCTCTCTCTACAACCCAGAACTGTTAGAATAAACTGATGGGGCTCTTTTCAAACACGCCCCGGCCACACTCATAAACTTCGTCATTCTGGAGGGAAGCCCAGGTCTCCTTTTCTTAAAAAAAGTGTTAATTCCAGCATACAGCTAGGATACAGATCCACTGCTATGGACAGTCTTGTTTTAATCACAGCCACTCTCATCAACTGAGTTACCTTTTACATATTAATGAGTCTCGAAGCTGTATCTGTACCAGATTCCCTCACGGAGTCAGTGTTCACTGGGTCCCCACTCTGTGCCCCGTGCTGGTCCAGGCCCTGGGGTAGAACAGGGAGCAACAGACAAGGGTCCCTGCTCTCCCGGAGCTCGTATTCTGATCGAGGACAGAGACACGAACCACCACAAAAAAAGATCACTTCTAATACTGAGAGGTACTGTGACAACAATGTAAGAGTAACCAGGGAGAGACAGTGTTTAAATAAAAAGGCCAGGGAAGACCTGGGAGGAAGCAAGGATAAGAATATGACCCAGAACTGCAGTGAAAAGGAATGAGCCGTATGAACATCTGAGGAACGAGAATCCTACGCACAGCACGTACAAAATACTGAAGCAGAAGCATATTGGTACCATAAAGAGTTTGACCAGTGTGCTTAAAGCGAGGTAAGTATGGAT